GTCGTTCATCCGACGTCCGAGAGGATTTTTATGTCAATAGGTTTCTTTGCGGTTCAGTGCAGTTTTTCACCGCACCGTTGCTCATGCCTTGTTCTGGATTGTAGAGTTTGTGGAAGCTACGTGCCTCAATAAACAACGTGTACGTCGGCCAATCTCGAATCACCGCCACCTTGTTGTGTCCACACAAATCCTGTCCAGCGAGATCACAAAATCAAGAAACAAGACGGTCGCAATTTTGGGCTTACCATGTCGTTGCCTATCTGCCTTGAACTGCTGCCACTAGGTGGTCGCACGTCCATGCAGCCGGGTCGAGACCAGCGCTATGCGTAGTGCCTCCAACACCTAGTTAAAATCGAGCACATTCTCGACCGCGAACAGTCAATAATAAAAATCGTCCGCATCGAGACCTCCTGAGAATTGAGGAAATCTACAAGGAAATTCGCCTCCCACTGCTGGTCGCTGGCCCTTCGCGCCGGCTAACGTGCGTGAAATGCCTCGAACAGATTATCGTAAGAGATTGTTTGTTACAAATCGTTGTCCTCGAACAATAATTTTGAATGGGAGCAGAGCGCCCCGCGTAATCCCTGGTTGCGACCTCCCCGCATACCTCCGTACCCACCACGCGCGGCATCAGCCCCCCGGTAATACTCACCGTGGCCAAAAGCAGCCAACACCAGACGGATTTCTTCGACCGCCGACGAAAACGATTCAAACTGGCGTCCCAACATCCCGATCTCCACGCCGCACTTGTCGTCCTCATCATCAATCCTTCTAGGCGGCATGTTGTAGGAATCTTACTAACTTTTGATACCGACTGACTTACGAAAGCTTAAACGCAAGAAATATTCGAGAAGAAACCCTAGGATACATGTTTATTCAATCAAAATCAACAAATATAACAATATGGGAGAGGTCTTTTAAATAAAACTCCTAATAACCTTTAAGTAAATTACTTGTCTAACAAGAAAATGAATAAGAAAAATAATTAATATAGATACCAAACTTAATTAGCAAATAACAATGAAAATAAAAAATATATTTAATTAAATTAAGAGTAATGCTACATAACCAACCTAGTGTACAACTAGGTTGACAACACACGTGTAAACACTCATAGAATTAAAAAAAATACACAAATGGATGTTTACACTTGTGTTGTCAACCTAGTTGTACACTAGATTGGCAATGTAGCATTTTTCTTAAATTAATGATGCTTGGTGATTATCCTTGTCTAAAAAGTCAATGCAATCTCGTGTTCATCTGTTAGATTATTTTCCTGGTAAAAACCTTAATAATGCATATGGAATACAAATGAAAGAGATATATGTGGCTGAATAAAATTCAATTTCTAACACAACAATTTAACGAGAAAATATACACTACAATTTTTGGAAGAAACAACACTTCCCCATTTTTTGGAAGAAACAACACTTCCATCATAGAATTTTCCTTTCATTCCCAATATACACTCGCCTTAATTTCATATAAGTACTTCAACTAACTGCACTACAAACAATTCCTATAAATAATTTGACTTAAAATATGTCAAAAAAAAAATGGGGCAAAAACTTACATCGCCCCATTCCTCTTTCCTCAAATCCATCAAACTCCACAATTTATCCAAACAAAACTCATGGATAAGAAGCGCGCAAATGCGAAGGCACACACGATGACCCTCTCCAAAACCTAGAGTGCAACCTCAGTATCTCCCTTGCCCTCTCTTTCGTCTTCCGGTTGGCCTCGACTTGCTGCACAAGGCACAGCTTGGCCACCACCCCAACCTGCAACATTTCCTGAAGTACCCTCGAGCAACCCGAATATCTCGATACCGACCCCACGATCCTCACCCCCTTCTCGCTGGCCGCATGTGAAACCCTAAGGATCTTCTTGGACACGATTGCCAACCCTGCCCCGTGGCTCAGGAGCTCAGCCCGCCCCTCCGCACAGTTGCACAGCTGGTCCAGCACAGTCAGTGCCAGCTCGCACGACCGCCTGTCTGCTGCCCGCTCGTCGAGAAGAAGCTCCACAAGGGCGTGAACCGCTCCAGACTCCACTGCTTTCACCCGGTTCCTTCCCCACGGGCACAGCTCCATCAACAGCTTCAGTGCCGCTTTCGAGGCTTGCTGTGAGATCCTGATCAATAATTATATTGCATAAAATCTTTAATAAATACCGCATGTCAAGCATGTGATAAC